CTGCCGCCCCTGCAAATGGGCTGCCCCAAGCACGTGCTTGCTTTGCTGGTGCCTAGAGCCGCCCCTGCTTGCAGACAACAGGCTGAACCTGGATGTGTACCGTAACGGCTGTTGCCAGTTCCTCGAGCTGTTTGAGAAATGAAGGGAAGAGGTGGACCAGGTGGAATTCCTGCGGCTGAACTGCAATGAGGCCCTCATAGACTCCACGCTGAGCAGCCTTCCTGTCCTGAAGTGCCTGAAGTCCCTGGTGCTCAAAGGTAAGACATGGAAAAGCATCCCTGCACATTCGTCTGGGCTTGGCTCTTTCCATCTGCTACAGGATGGATGCGCTTTATGGTTTCCATTGTGCACTAGCGCCCCTTGCAGCGGCTTTGGGTCCGTTAGCCTTACGGGGAGCAGCATGCAGATTCAGCAAGATCCAGCACAGGGGCTGTTATTCTCATCCTTTGTTTCCACAGCTGCTGGGGACCAATTTCCTCACTTGATTCAGTCTGACAGGTGCAGCCTTTTATTTGACTGTCACTTGAATGGAGACTGGTTGGATCTTTAGTTGTGGAGAGTCTGATTGAAATTATTTTTGGTGATTATTTCCCACCCCCTGTCCCGTTATGAGACGTAATGATTCCTTTCACTGTGTTTCCTTCTGCTGTAGCTTTCTGAACAGACCCTTGTCCTGTGCCCTGCAGCACAGGCTGGGAACATGGTTTGAGAATGAACAGCAAAGAAACTAACTTATCAGGAGCACAAAAAGTATTGGAGTGGATAGGCCTATGAATTGTAGCCCATGGCATGATGACATTCAATAAATACCTGTTGACCATTGTATTGCTTCTTTGGCTTCCCAGTTTTTGTATGCTAGGAGGCTGTGAATATGAATGGTGTGTCTTTAGTAATCTTGGAAAAATGTTGAACCACCCAGTCTTATGGGGGAAACTGTATGTGCATGTCAGAGAGGAAGGATGGTCCAGTGGTTAGGACACTAACCTGAGAATCAAGAGACCTGGTTCATTTCCCCTGCTCCACCAGAATGCGACGTTAGGCAAGTATCTCTGGCCCAGATCCACAAAGGTATTTGAAATCAAGGGAAGTTAGAAGTCTAAATACCTTTGTGGATCTGGGCCTCAGTTTTCCCATCTGTAGAATGGGCATATTAATACTTCCCTACCTCCACAGATTTATGCTGTGAAGTGCTCAGATACTCTGAGTATCCTGAAAAAAAGTAGAAAAACTTGGTTCACTAAGAATTCCTTATTTAAGCCCTATTATTTGCTAATCCAGGGTTTCTCAAATATTAATCTTTCTTCTATTGTACAACAAAAAAATCCAGTGATATCCTCTAATGTAAGCATTTAAAATTGCACTGCAGGAGGGTGGTGAGTAGGAGGGAGGGAGGATATTGGTACATTTCTGGAAGTGTGAATTTAAATCATGTGGCTGCCACATTTTTTTCCCCCTCTCCCACGAGTCACTTGCCCTGGTAGTCTCAAGCAAGCCAGAAATCTTTTGAATATGCTGGATTTGTTATTTGGAGTACACCTCCCATCAAACCTAGAATTGTTGAA